CAATCATTTAAAATTAGAAATTTGAAAATCGTATTTGTCCTGTCTGTAATCTAACCTTATAAACATCTCAAAAATCTAAAAATTATTTTTTGGTTGTACTGCTGTATTTAGAGAAATTAACAAAATAAAAACATGTAGTCTTCACAGACCTGGGACACACACAGACTATGACGTTCCCCATGGAAATTACCATGACCAATCTTGTGCCACTTCAGAATACATAGGGAGTGTCTCATCTACCTGTCTTAGTGGTTGCTAAGTATAGTCAGAACTATCTCGCTATCCCGGAACTTTTAAATGACTCAGAGCATGGTTGCTGGGTTACCATGGCTTGTTGTTTTGGCAATAATGTTCTCATAAAATAAATGTTCTGGAAGGGAAAAAACTAAATCAAACTCCGAATTGGCTTATTGTAATAACAGATTAATAAAATATCTGATCTATTTATCTATCTCGCAATTATACTTTATTTTCCCACAATAACAGGCTCTGCTGTGATCTGAATGTTAAGCCTTTCTTGGGTACCAAACAATCTCCACTTTTACTATATATTTTTTGTGGCAGTAAACACATTTAATAAGCGAATGGATTATCTCAGGGTAATACTACTGTAGAGACCACTGCACGGCAGGCCACCTCTTTGTGATTACATAACTCCACGTGCATGAGAGGATACATGTTTAGAGAACTTCACAGTAGTTTCAGTAAATAAATATAGAAAATAAAACGTGAGGGTCAACGGGAAACTGTTAAAAGCAGAACCCCACTTTCGTCAGTAAAGATATAACCTTGGTCTGTTTGAGAAAAGGTCAATAATATAATCTGGGAACGATGTGGAAGAACAGCCATATATAACTTGTGAACAATGTGTTCCAAAATTGGGTTATAATCTGTAGTCTTGTAGATTAATTTTGGTCCGAAGTGCAGTTCTTCCGAATTTAGGCCAATCGGGGGACCAGTTGAAATCTGAGCTGAAATCTAACTAACCAAAACACACATTTGCCAAGAATGTCCATTTGAGTTCGTGGTTCTGAAAAAAAAAAGAGATTATTTGACAATTAATGGCCAGGGCACAGTTTAACGAAGCAAATGAGCATTCTATGTGTGGGATAATCACTTCTAAAATAAACATACTGTGCAATATGTGGCATATAATTTTAGAGCTACAACATTATATGTGGCCGGACAGTCAAGGTATCATAATGGCTTAATTTCTCCCCTGGAGTACCATATTATGAAAGACACATATGGCATTTTCGGTCTGTAATTACTTTATTCTATTGATATAACAGTGATTATTTGCATATTCAATACTCTTTATGGGGTAATCTTTGTCATTTGTATTTCCCATTTTTGATCTTTTTTTATTATTATATTCTGTTTTGTTATGTTTATCATTGAAAAATTAAATTAATAAAAAAGTATTTGAAAAGAAAATAAATAAACACACTGTGCTGTAAGATCTGATTTGATCTGATCCTTATTGCAGTTTGTTGCCTTGCTTCAGTTTTTTTCTAATCGGAATGTAATCTCCAGAATAAGAAATATAATCACTTTTGGCTAGAGATTTGAGTCTCTCAGGTTAAACTCTGCTCTGAATATAGATATAAGCAATCCAGGCAAGAACTTTTTTATAAAGTTCAATACAATTACTTTCAATGGAACAAAAAGGTCTTTTTAGAGGATGTTTGGTAAATTGCAAAGCTCACCTTGAAAAGATTGCAGTGTTTGCTGAGATACAGTGTGTGCAAATCAGAATGCTGGCTAATTATATTCTCAATCTCTACAGGTATAGGGTTTTTCACAGAATTATGGACATTTGAATTGAACAAAATCTGGGAGCCATAGTTTGGCACACCTTGGTTCGTTCTCTGCCAACAGAGTTTTGTATTTTCCTATTCAACTACACTAGAGCATACGTTCATTTAAATAACTTCTTCAAAAATGTTCCAAAACCTTTTTGCTATTTTTAACCTCCTTCTTGCACAGACCCTTATTTTTTGTTAAAAAAGTTATTCTTTATATAATACACTTTTCATTTACAAGTGCATTTAAGAGCCATACATATTTCTTCTCAAGAAAAAAAAAGATTTGAGCCTCCAATGTATTCTGTTTGAAAAAATAGGATAATAAATTCAGAAAGGTGCTAAGGGTGGCTTAAAGGGGTACCATAGGCACCAAAACAATTTTAGCTTGATGAAGTAGTTTTGGTTCATAGATCATACCTCTGCAGTCTCACGGCTCAATTCTCTGTCATTTAGGATTTAAATTTTTATGAACAAATGCAAGTATTACAAGTTTTAGAATGAAATGTTGTATTTCTTAACACTGTGTACTTTGTCTATAAGAGATATTGCAAACTGCCAAGGTGTTAGAAATGGAACATATTGTTTTTCATACATTAACCTCTTACCTACTTTCAGTGCATAATATGTTTACGCCAATTTGTCTTAGCTTAATACAAAAAATGTAATGCAATAACATCTTTAAGGCTATGCTACATCATCAGACTGTAGGAAACCATCTTGTCCCAAGTCATGGAATTCCCCATGACGTGTGCACTTACGTTTTAGTTATGACCTTATATCTTTAAGCTAAGTTAAGGGAGGTCCTTAAATGAACATATAAATATGTGTACCTTTTAAATGGTAAGGGACAGGGGAGAGATTTGGAGACAGAGACACAGCTCCATATTATAATGACTGAGAGATGTTGACATGTTCAAGAGGGTATGTTATTCTATTTTAATGATATTGCAAGCATATAGTTTAATTTTATAAACTCTGCTCTAAATTATTGTAATGGATTTTATATGTCTATATTGATAAAAATATCTAAAAAGACAAAACTTTATTGCTTCCAAGACAATCCTTATTTTATATTGTATTCTCAATTATTTTATTTTTTTAAATAGAGGATCTCTTACAAACTATATATTATTATAGCTAAGATATCTGTATGGTTAGCCCTGCTAAGTTCTATTCTTTAAGACTTTATAGTGGTAAATAAGGTAACCGGCTGTGGTTACAAAATGACTTTGTTTATGCAACCCTAGTTACACTTCCCTGCATGTGGCTCACACAGCCTTTCTAAATACTTCCTGTAAAGAGAGCTGTAATGTTTAAATATCCTTTAATGGACAGACTAATTTATAATTTCTTACCTCAGGCTCTGTTAATAGCTGGCTAGAGCCTACAATAAGCTCCTGTGAGTGACTAAAGTTCACTTTATACAACAGGAGATAAGTAAGTGATTATAGCAAGGAAATATCTAGAGCATAGCAATCCCTTGTTGCAGATTCCCCCAAAAAGAGACAGGACTCCAAATTGAGGGTGAAGTAGAACTGTCTAAAATTTTATTTTTCTAGGGACTAGCCCATATGGTCATTACATTAAAATTGCTGTGAAAACTCAATAAAATTACAAACAGTTAAATCATAACAGGCAACATACAGTGACTTATTATAACATAATTACATATTTATAAATGGGTGGGGAAGACCATAATTAACACAAAATGTCTCTCCTGCATTCAGAATTAGCGATATGCAAATCTACCAGAATATTCTAATTACCAGTCTTGATATTCAGGTAGTGCATATTACTGTTGCTACCAACAGAGGGCACTACACAAGCTCCATAGCCAAATCCACCTAGTTGGTAGCAATCCTCAGCAGTACAGGAGAGCAGGCAATACATCCCAGGGGCCATAGTCACATAGCAGGAGGCTGGCAATCAGTCTTCTCCAATGCCCAGTGGCAAGGCTGGTTCCACCACATTTCTCCCCTTTTCCAAACAGACTAACAGGATATCTGACCTCCTGCCGGTCAGTGCCCTGGTTAGTCCAGCAACCCACCCACGAAACACAAACAGTAATACAGCCCACCCAAAATACATGGTTACTATACCTGGGTAAAAGATTAGCTCGTCCATGTCCAGGTGCCTCACCACGGCTGTGTGGGGTACTGATAGGCTGGCTTGGTGGGTTGCTGAGTGGGCAGAGACCCGTGGTACTCTGCCCTGGTGCCAGCGCTACCACGGGAGTAGCCTGGTTCAAGTCATTCTGAAAAGAAGAGTTGGTAGGCTCCTCTCTTGGGATCTGGGGCTGCTGCTGGAGGGGGAGACCGACTGTCTCCCCTTTGGTTAATAGTCCTGCTGCTGGAGGGGGAGACTGACTGTCTCCCCTTTGGACACACAGCCCTGCTGCTGGAGGGGGAGACCGACTGTCTCCCCTTTGGCTAAACAGCCCTGCTGCTGGGGGACAGGACCGACTGTCCCTACCCCCGGTGGTGCATGTGCAGAGACCACGGCCCCATCTGCACTGTTGTGGAGCTTACTGTCTCCCCTTGGTGGGCTAAGCTGCCGTTGGGGAGAAGGGGTGACAAGCTCCTCTCCCATACATACTTTCAGCCGCTGGGGAGAGGGGATAACAAGCTCCTCTACCTGACACTCTCTCTGCTGTTGGAGAGGGGCACCGACTGCCTTCCCTTTCAATATATTGTCCCGCTGCTGGGGAGCGAGACTGACTTTCTCTGCTCCGTGCCGGACATACTGCTGCTGGGGAGGAAGGACGGCACCTTCGGCTCCCTGGGACTCGCTTGACTGCTGGGGAGAGGGACCGACTGTCTGCTCTCCCAAGAACACATACTGCCACTGGGGGGGGCAGGACGGCACCTTCGTCTCCCTGTAACTCACTGGACTGCTGGGGAGAGGGACCAACTGTCTCCTCTCCTAAGGACACACACTGCCGCTGGGGAGGAAGGACGGCACCTTCAGCTCCCTGGGATATATACTGCCACTGGGGATCTGGGCCTACTGCCCAGCATCCCTGTAGGGCCGGTAGAGAGACCTCGGTCCCATCTCCACCTGCCAGCTGGGTGTCTTCCCAGGACAAGTCAATGAGGTCTTCCATCTCTGTGGCTGGTTGGGATGTATGTGGTACAGTACCAAGGTCCCCTGATAACAGACTTGGTTGCTGGGGAGGAGGAACTAAACTCCATGCTTCCGGTGGTATACAGTCAATAAGCCCCATCATGTCAGAGACAGGCGGCGTTATACGTTGGAATAGGCAAACATAATCCTGTTCTAGTTCCCACTCCCGGTTGGCAAGAAAAGATAGATCTGGCTGAATGGCATGGATCTCCGTAAGGTCCCAGTTGTCTGCCCGCTCAGCTCGGATGGACCAGAAGCGAGCAATGTCGATGTCTCCGAACCAGAGACTAGTTTCAATAGTATCCCACAACAAACCAGGGCCATCGTAGTCTTCCCCCTCAATACACTTGTACTCAATCAGCCATGGGTAGAGGTGGTAAACATGCCACCGCAGGGCCCGATAGGAATCATCCAGCCACACCTCAGTCTCAACTAGCGTCTCCAGTTGGCTTACCCATTCCTCTGAGGGCTGGTTTCCCAATAACGGCATCCACAACTCTAGTTGTTCTGCTTGGCGCTGGTTAGTGGTCAGGATTTCCTCGCACTGGAAGGGTCGAATTTCGTCGATGTCCTCCTTCCAGAGATCGGTACGAAGCGCCACCCTCCACTCTGCCTCTCTTTCCTCTGGGATAGGATACTCCATACTGCGCATCACATCCTGTAGTCGCTGCTGGAGCCTGGCGTCAAAGTGAAGTACTGCACGGCCTTCCATCTCTGAAGTAGTGCTGGTTTTCCCAAGGCTAGGAAGCCATCCCACCGCTGCCACCAATGTAACGGATCCTGTAGTCGCTGCTGGAGCCTGGCGTCAAAGTGAGGTACTGCACGACCTTCCATCTCTGAAGTAGCGCTGGTTTTCCCAAGGCTAGGAAGCCATCCCACCACTGTCACCAATGTAACGGATCACCTGGCACCCCGACTGGGTACCTCCGTTGATAGATGCTTATATATCAATATATCAATGTTGTTTATAAATAAAAGTATATAGACTAGGCCAGGGGTAGGCAACCTTTTAGCAACACTGTGCCGATATCAGATTGTGATGTCCCGTAGAGTGCCGGTCCTATTTTTTTTAAATTGAGGTTTGTATGCTGCCGTATTCCGCTTGTGTTATTTTTACTGTAATTGCTTTGTATCGTTGTATTTGTGCGTATATGAGCTATTATATTGTATATGTTCATTAGTAGTTTATGGTATCGTGTATGATACATATGAATGTGGGCTGTGTATGAGGGCTGCTTGTGGACTTGTGTGTGGATGGATGTCACATCGTGTGTTTGGTAGTGTGTGTATGTGTGTGGCTGTTTGGGGTATTGCATGTGAGAGGCTGCGTTTGTGGGGATTGTGTGTTGTGTGTGTGGGCTGTTCATGTTATTTGTATGAGGGGAGGGTTATTCTGCAGCTCCATTTATATATAGCAGTGTGGGTGGGTTCCCTGGGTTCCAGTGGGGACCAGGCTGGCCAGGTACAGGTCAAGGACAGGAGTTGCGATAGCTGTCGAGGGCTGCTCTACTACAGTGTGGATTCCCATTCACAAGTGCTGGGAGGAAGTGATCTGGGATCACTTCCTCTATGTGCTACAATGCATAAATTGAGGATTGTCCTTCACCACCTCTTCGTATTAGCAGATATCTGAAGTTTTACTGGGACTCCTGATAGGCCAGAGTGCGTTTGGCTCTAGCAGCCTTGAGTGCCGTGCAAAGACACCTTGAGTGCCGTGCATGGCACTAGTGCCGTAGGTTGCCTACCCCTGGACTAGGCAATAACAGCATTTACATGCATTCAGCAGCCTGCTCTCTCAGAGCCAGAAACTGATTTATAAAAAAAATTAAAAGTAGGTTTTAAAAAGTCCACAGTCAACCACACATGAAGGGTGAAATAATTGCTTCTTTAAAAGCTATATGCTGCTGCAATTATGTATATAAATACTGATCAGGGCACAGCGTAGAAATAAAAAAAACTGTTTCAAATCTCATATATGGGGATTCAGTTCCACCACATATTCTACAATTCTGAAAGAGGCTAATTTTAATAATATGTTGTAAGAGCATTGTGAAGATATATACTGCAAAATTAATGTGATATTGCAAAGCCTGCAATATCCTAAACAGACATTAAAATTTAAGAAAAAAAGAAAAATAATAATGCATAAAGAATAATGCATAAAAAAATGCAGTGTCAATTAAAGTGATAATAATGTGATATATTAAATCACATTGCATATCACATATCTGCTATATGAAAAGTATAATTAAGGTGACATTACTGTCCAATGCCCCCTCACATCTATTTTATAGAATCTATACTTTTCAGTGGTCACCTCCAAAGAAGCCTCTGAAACTGGGGGGCTCAGAGGGGTGCTCATCCCAAAAGGAATCAGATTCCAGACTTAAATTTTTTTTTAAATAAATAAATGATAGAAAAGGAATCACGGGAACACCCAGAACATGCATTTTTGTATATAATCTTAATTTGCAGATATTTTATGCCTTAAAGACATATAAAGGATATTTAATTAAATATGCAGGTATCTTTAAAAATTAAGCAAAGTTAAAAAAATAAAAAAATAAAATAAATAATAATAATAAAAAACATATTTTACACCACTATATAAACAGCTTTGTTAAACAGATTTAAGTACAAGTACTTATGACAAGAAATATACAGAATACGTTTACAACAGGCAGGTTTAGCATAAATGCAAAGTTGTTGTTTTTGGGGATTTATTATTGCCCAAGAAATCTCTGAATTTTTGAGAGCAGCAAGAATAGATAGCAGATTGCAATGGACACCATTACAATATTGCTTTGCCGATTGAGGTCAGAGCTTTAAAGAATAAATAAATAAATGTTCTATAGCTCGCTATGCCACTGGCTTTTAATGAACAGTTTGCACAACACTTATAAATAGTTTGTAATACTGCACATTATAGCTGTGACAACATAATACACATAGTAACAATGCTATGTCACTGTTTAATAGACTTACCCAGTATTTAAGGACGACATGTTTCTTGCAAAGTCGTCTGGACTTTGAGGGAGGCTCTAACCACGTTTAATTAATTCATTAACTTACTAAAGAAAAAGAAAAAAGAAGAGGTTTTGTTTTTCCCCTGCAAGTGAGTTTTCAGCGCAAGGTCATTTTGTGTTCACAGACTATTCGGATTTTAAAAAAAGCTGTTCTTTATCTCACATTATGAACGGCTTTGTAATTGTAAAGTAAAGTTGGCTTTTAAATGTTATTGTTTTAACTTTAATATTTCATAGTTAATACAGAGAATAAAGTAATTTAAAGAAAATATATTGAAAGTATATTAATTGATAGGATTTCATTTATCTATTTTGGTCCACTGTTCACTGATCTCGAGTCTCAGTCTGATGTTCAAACAGTTTTTCTTACGATACGTCGTGAGTTTATATCCACAACTGCATTTTGCTTTGTGGAAGCAAATTGAAAGCCTGGCATTGTAATACGTGTATGGACATGCTTATAACAAAGCATGGGCCCTCTCCTCATGTAGTTGGTCATTAACAGGCACTTTGATGCAGTGTGTCTACCAACGCTTTTCTGTGGTCACTGGATCACATCGCATACCCTATCTCTCAGTCATGATGCAGAGTTTATGCTTGCAAGGATATCCACTTGGTATCCGCATAAATACTCCTATCGTTTAGAGGGGTTAATTACATAATAACCATTGAAGGTAATATGTTGGTTGTTCTTCCAATAGAGGAAAGATAGACTTGCCCTAAAAGCTTTTTCATGGCTAGGACAAGCTCTTATAGAGAGAGTTAATGTACTTCTGACTCCTGAAAAGGAATATTGGTGGTCCAGTATGGGAAATACTGTAATTCATGTGTTTAGTAACCATAAGCATTTGCTTATTGCCACATTACGGATGTACTGTTTATTGAAATATTAATATCTAACATACTTTTTGAATTACTATATATTGGAAGTGTGCCAACATCTCATGGTTATAAATATGTTTTTGTATGTGTTGATGCATGTACCAGGTTTACTTGGATATATCCTGTGCAAAGTGCAACCTCTGATGCCACGTTTTCTAGTCTCACTTCCTTAGTATGCATTTGATAATCCCAGGACCATCCATTTGGATGGTGGTCCTGCAGTTACTGCAAAGGAAACCTAAAACTGGGCAACCACATTTGGGTTACTTTGGGATTTCAGTGCGCCAACCACCCCCAAAGAAGTGGGGTTGTGGTCTGGGAAAATGCTGAGGTTAAATGATTATTAACCAAGTTACTAGCTGCTTGCCCCACACAGTGGTATCTGTTTATTCCCATGGTACAGATGGGCATTCACAACATACCTGATGATACAAATGGTGAGACACCATATGAAATGTTACATGTTTTTCACTGACAAACATATTTCTGCACCAGGGAGAGCTTAGAACCATTGGTTCTATTAGAGAAATTTAGGGAATTATTTTTTCCAGCCCACCTCGCCTTGCACCACGACCTATTTCCTTCTGTTGGCCAGCTTGTCCTGGAGAGGGTGACTCCGAGAACTTTTACTACAGAGAACAATCAGAGCCAACAGAGAACAGTGAATTTGATATTTTACAACCTGCTAAAATACTTCCAAGACGTTCACAGAACCACTGACTGACACAGTGAATGCTGTTAAAGATGACAAGTTAAATCAAACAGAGGACGACAGAAATGCCACCAGAATCATAGCCATGTAACAGACTGAATCATGATCTGACATCTGAACCTGCAAATGTGAAGGAGAAGGATGAACAGACAGACGTGATACATTCACAGTTAACATGGAATGTATGAAAAATGAATCATCAACATCATTATAAGAAAGACTCTGGAGAAAACAGACTAAACCTGAATTATCTTAAACAGTAAGAAAGAAATGCAAAGATGGAAGCAAAAGGATGCTAGAAAATTGGTTCTGGTGTCTCCTTCTTACAATCTGCAGCATTATCATAACATCAACCCTAGCTGTCGTTTTAAAACTGCATTGGGATTATGTTTAGAAGCAGGACTATATAACACACTATACAAGTTCTTTTGATCGTGAGGACTACCTCCAAGAACTATCTCATAAGGAGAGACACAGCTCACAGTGAAATGATTGCTAATGTGACCTACACTGGTATTTCACAAGGAACCTATTGAGATCATTCCAAAAATCGATTATACATGAGAAAGATGTGATTGGACTATTACAAATCCTAATAATGGACTCAACGATGATGGCAAAGCATGCTGAAAACAGAAAAAGACGAGACAGATGCTTGTGAAAGACTTTGGATGCACCTATGAAGGTGATTAAGAAAATACTTTGCCATATAGTTTATCATTGCGTGACTACCGCAAACAGCCTTCTTATGCTGAAAAGAAGTGCTATGCTAATTCTGGACATTGCTATTATGTTTCCAGACAGAAGATGACCGGAAAAAGAAATAAAGGCTGATAACTGTCAACACCCAGCTATTTCTTAAGATGGAACATGGTACTGAGAAAACCTGATTGACTATCAAAGCACCTCACAGTACAAGACACAGATTGTTGCCTACAACTCAGAAAAAGTGGTTAATAGGAAGGAGCAGAAGAAGCGGAATATAGATTTCCTACTGGAATGAAAAACCATCCTGGAACAATATTCTGCAACAATGAACTGTACAATGACATTTGATGGCATATGAATTTGAATTCGGACGAAA